TAAAGGTAGATTTTTCTTAGTTTGCTGAACCGTTTTCAGTCTGTCTGACTTCTGTCTCTGTAAATATGGTGCTACCGTTTGATGCTACCGTTTTTGATGCTACCGTTTTCTGTCAAGCCTTTGTGAAGTCAGCTAAACTTAGAGCCTTAAAATCTAGTTCGGCAATCAGTTTCAAGGTGCCTCAACTTCGTCAGTTTCGATAGCCAAAATTAAATGTACATGCTTTCGTGAATTTTCCTGTTTTTTTGTTTTCAAAATAGCATTGTTCTCATTTCTACCTAAGGATAACAAAACTTTAATAGCAGAGTAGCACAAAATTTACTGCCACTGTTTATTTTTCATTTCGAATAGGCCTACTACTAAGTGGTGGTTTAAAATACTTTCAAGTCTGTTACTGTTCTCAAACACGTCTGCGATCAGGAGGGATTTTCCACGAGGGAAAAGTTTTGAGCGGATGTATCTTCACGGTTTCATTTTGGTCGTGTTATCAAATCAATCGCCGCATCGTATTTTGAGTTGCGAATCTTCATCTTCTTTATCTTCATTCCTCACCGGTCGTGGAGGCAAACTCGTCAGACAGTGCTTGCAACGTTCCCAGTCCTTTGCCAGACTCTGAGCTTCGACAGAAGACAGCTGGAGTTTGCAACAGACTCCGTCCATATATTGGCACCAGGTTAATCTTCGCTTTGGACTTCTGCCAGACGGTTTCGCAAGGTACAGTTGCTTAGCCTTCCTTTCTGGAGGCATTCGCAACACATGCCCAAACCATCGCATCTGTGACTTCTCAATCTGGAGAAGCAGAGGCTGTACACCAAGGCTATCCCGGATATCAGTATTCCGGATGATGTAGATACGCGTAAGACTCGCGACTCGTCTAAGAAGGCCCATTTCAGCAGCTTGTACCCAGGTTCGAAGCTTTTCAGTCATGGTTCACGACTCATGATCGTAGGTAAGCATGGGGATAAATATCGACTTGAACATCGAGAGCTTAGTTTGCAGACTGAGTTCTCCTTTAGTCATAATGGGTCGAGCTAGTTCACGCAGAACGCCACTGGCTACTCCAATTCGCCAGTCGATCTCTTCCTCAAAATTTCCGTCACTAGTAAATACGACTCTGAGGTAATTGAACTTCTCCACCTGCTCCACTGCCTCTCCGTTAATCTGAAGAGATTTACTGGCAGGAAAGCGAGGAAGCGCTAGAAACTTCGTTTTAGATGCGTTCACACGCTTTCTGGTCACATCGCATTCTGCTGCGAACCATTCTAGGGAGCACTGTAGATCAGTTTCAGAAAATGCCAATAAAACAAGGTGGTATGCAAACAGCAATTTTTTCGGCTTCACATCTCCTACACCGATGCACTCATTGCCTTGACTGCTCCTGACTATTCTATCCATGTACGACACAAATAGGAGAGGGGAGAAGACGCAGCCTTGCTGGACACCAGTGCCAACGTTTAAAGACTAAGACTTAACGCCATTACTCTGACGCAGCACCTGCTACTAGAATACAGTGATTGAATGGCCCTTAGCAGCTGGCCATCTGTCCCGTATTGTCGAAGGCATGATCACAGACTGTTGCGTGGGATCAAATTATAGGCTTTTTCTAGGTCAACAAAACACATGTGCACCAGACGGGCGTTCTCACGATTTTTCAACAATCTGGCGCAGGACAAATATATGGTCAGGGTGCTTCAACCGTGCCGGAAGACAAAATGCCTTTCTTGTATCTTAGAATCAGTTTTTCCGCGGCACCTCCTTTCTAGCACCTTTGCGTAGACTTTACCTAGGAGGCTCAATATCGTATTACCCCTATAACTGGATCACTTATTTTGATCTCCCTTCTTGAATAGGGTTGCAATAACTCCCGTTTTCCAATCCGCTGGTGTCTTTCCCGTAGTCATCGCAGTTTGATAGGCAGTGTAAGCCAGCATATGCCTTGTTCGCCTAATGCCCTGAGTATTTTAAGGCGGATTTCATCAGTTCTTTCAGCCTTTCCATTTTTGAAGCTTTTCACAGTTTGTGTAAATTCATCTACAGAGATATCAGTTCCTTGCTGCTCTAGAGGCGAGTCTTCACCTCAGGAAGCGCGGTGGCCCAGGGTTAACGAGTTCTTGAAAATACTCTCTCCATCGCCGAAGAATATCATCATCCTTGGTAAGGTGTCCATACCAGCGCTTCAAGACTCTTAGACTGCCCTTCTTTTTACCTCGGAGCTGGCGGATGTTCTGCCAGAATACCCTGTTTGCCGTGTAGGAAATTCGATTCCGATACCTCACTGAACTTCTCCCTGGAATCATCTTTCGTCTTCGCCACTGCCTTCGCTACCGTCCTGCGTGGCTCGACATATCGCACGCGAGTAGAAGGCTCTTTGTTTCCAGGCCATTTCTTGAACGCTGCCTTCTTCTCTTTAATTGTCGGCTGTTTCCTCTCGTGTCCACCAGGAAGATCTTTTGTGACCTCGGAGCGGCAGGCAAACAAGTTTAAATCCGCGGCATTCGGCGGCAGCCTCAAGTATTTCGCTCTTAAAGAGCTGCCACTCAGTTTCCACATCATTGGTCATCATCAGGATCCGGCCATAACTTCGGGGATGTTGTTTTGCAAATTTCTTTTTCGTATCCACCGAAGACAATGTTTCCCATTTGATTGTCCGGTTACTGCTGCCACCGGATCTTCGTATGGTACTCCATTTCTTACATCGCAGCGTGCCAACAACAAGGTGGTGATCGGTCTTTAGTTCTTCGCCTCTCTTAACGCGAACATCTATTACTGAGCGTTTTAAGTCAGACGATACGATTATCAAATGGATCATGGATTTTTTTTGCAAAATTTTCTCTGTATCAGATATACTGATGCACTCTTCGATGCTCGAAGAAGGTGTTCATAATAGACAGTTCTTTGTTTGCACACAACCGCAACAACTTCATGCCGTTATTGTTGAGGCCGCTAGGCCCGTTTTTTCCAATCACGGCTTTCCACCTTCCAGCGTTTTCTCCGACATGCGCATTAAATTCGCCCATCAATATGAGGGACTCTGTATTCGGCACTTCAGACAGAGCACACTGCACTT